GTTTTGATCATTGTGAAGACATTTATTAATGTCTGTTCGACATACGCACAGTAATGTAATGTAGTACTCCCTCCGTTCCCAAATATTTGTCTTTCTAAGCATTTCAAATGGACACAACATACGGATGTATGTAGACTTATCTTGGAGTGTAGATTCATTCATTTTGCTCTGTATGTAGTCACTTGTTGAAATCTCTAAAAAGACAAATATTTGGGAACGGAGGGAGTAGTAGTTATCTTTCAGCAGTGTACGTCTGTCTTAAGGATCTTCTTATGTGCACAGATAAGAGGTGGAATATATGATGGATGGCAGCACATCGACGAGGTGCCATCAGATATCTAGAAGCACTCATCCCGCGCCCTTGTTTTCTCGTCGCAGGCCCTCTAATTCGTCAGTTGTTTCTTAATATTTTTTTCTTGGAATGCTGATGGAGAAGAGCAGCAGCTTCATCATATATGTACATTTGTTGGTTGATCTTATTGGTTGTGTTATTTGACTGATGATTTCTTGTGTGTAATACATATCCTACTTGACTTGTATCGGGACGAGCAACACCAGTGTGGATTTGAAAAATGATGATCTGTCATAGTATTTGTTGCTGGTTGTCGCTGATGTCTGAATGAAGTTCATGTTGGTGTGGATCAACTTTCTGTTGTCAAATTCTTTGTATTCATTTCTTGCAAAAAAAAAACCCTTTGTATTTTTTTTTGAGGGCACGCCAATGGCGTACCTTAGCTTTATAGAAGGAAGAAAAATATGTACAAAAGATTACACATCGCTAGATAGGAGTCACAAACCGACCCTAACCAAGCCTCCACATCACTCCCTAGCTCTACTCGACTACTCTATGATCGGTTGTCCTTCGAAAGCTCTTGCTTTGGCCCAAGTCCTCAACTCATCAAAGATAGAGTCTACAGTATCCCACTCGTTCTTGATTATGCCCGTGCCGAAGACCCTCACATTCCTTTGCTTCCATATCGTCCAACAGATTAGCATCACGAGGGTGTTAAAGCCTTTCCGAGACTGCTTATCTATCCGCTTTCTCGTATCCGTCCACCACTGCACAAATCTTGAGTCATTTGTTGGGCAAAGGTCGGCCGTCAAACCCACCCTAGTAGTGCAGCGGAACCACACTTGCCGCGAGAACACGCACTGCAGCAAAATGTGGTCCACTGTATCGTCCTCTTGGTCACACATATAACATTTTGATGCTTGGTCTTGCAATCCGTGCCTAGCTCTCCTGTCCGAGGTCCATAAACGATATTGTACCGCAAGCCACATGAATAGCTTGCACGCAAGCGGTGCCCAACACTTCCATATGGCTCCGAAGCAATGGAATCTGACTCCTCCCTCGCATAGCATCTTGTACGCAGATGATGCCGTGTAGACTCCGGACGTGTTCCAAGCCCAGATGGGGCAGTCCTCGACTTGAGCGTCCAAATGAACTTCCAAGAGAATTTCCCAAAGGCCGATGAACTTGGTGAGACCCTCAGTGCATAGATTGCCCATTACATCGTCCATCCATGAATGCATGCACATCGCATCTCGCACAAGTCTCTTGTTAACCACTTGTGTCCGCACCTTTGCCACAACCAAGGGTGCAAAATCTTTAATAGCTGCTCCATGTATCCATCGGTCTTTCCAGAACAAGGTCTTGCCTCCTGAACCAACTTCCCATTTTGACAAGGCTTCCAAAAGCTTGGTCCACCTTTTTGTCCGAGGTCAGGTTGAGGCCTTGCCACGGCCTGGAATCATCGGTGCGTCTAAGCCATTCCCATCTAAGTCTTAAAGCGATACCGTGCTTAGCCAGGTCAATGACTCCCAAGCCTCCCAAGTGTTTAGGCCTGCACACTCTAGCCCAGGAGACGACACATTGGTATGAGAGAGGATCACATACAAAATATCAAAAAGTCCAGTAGCTAATGTTCTGCATTTACCAAACGATGAGATCTTTCAAAAAGTTCTGCCAGATTTATTCAGAGTTTTTACTAACTTGCACATTCATGCGACGATTTTGAGATTTACAAAGCTCATAAAGGGTGAATCTCTAAACAATTATTGTTTTTTTTAACACGGCACAATCGCGATGCTCACCTATATGAACGCATGCACACATGCCCTATGAACACCTTCGAGATATTGAGCCAGCATAACATCTTGAGATTGATGAAATCACCATGGGTGACTCGTAGTCGATGGGATACCATCCAACCACATATTGATTTGCACTAGTTGATTATTAAGCCCTTAAATTAGGCATAACTTGTTAGCCATCATCAGATGATATGTACATATGTAATATTTAATGTTATGGGTTTTCCTCAATGATATGTCATAGCATTTTTAATAAGACTACATGTGCCATGTCGTTTCTTTAACATATTATAATATAATTTCTCCATGGGAGGTTTTTTAAAGTAACATAGTCATGGAGAATCGATCGAGTGGGAGTTGTACAATACAACTAATGATCAATTAATTCTCGCACAACACAACAAAAACAAGTGGATTAACTCTCCATTTTTCTCAAAGGAAATCCTTTCCATCTTTTTGCTTCTGTTTCCGTCATACTATCATTTTTCTTTTAAAATTTCCTTTGTTATTTTTTCTAAGGAATTTTGACAATTCCTCCATAGTATTTTACAAATTTTTTTGATTGCAAATTTTGTAGGTAGCTTATATCAAGCTGACCGCTTGGTCCTCCGTAGTAGTATCACAACATAACCAACATCATTGATTTACATTTCTTTTGCGGTATGGTACCGCTTTGCAGTTTTTTTTTTTGAGGTTTTGTACGGGATTTCCTATTTGGCGCTGCAGGCGCCGGTTATAGCTGTTTTCGCAAACCGGCGCCTGCAGCGGCGCTACCTGGGCTCGGCCCAACTTCTATTACTCTTGTTCTTTAATCTCTATATAAAAGAGCAAAAAAAGCCGCGAAAGCTAGGATTCGAACCAGCGTCGCGCGGTTATAACGTATTGACCTATACCAACTCCACCACTTCAGCAGATGTGGTAGCATACATGTTTTTGTCAATTTATTTGTTGTTCTTTTTCCTTTTCCTTTTCCTTTTGCTTTTTTCTCTATCCTTTTTTACTTTCTTTTTTGGAAATTCGTAATTGTTTTCTTCAAATAGATGGACTTCTTCTATAAATCCATGAACTGAATTTTTCGAAACTCGTGAACTTTTTTCAAATTGATGAACCATTTTCAGAATAGGGGAACTTATTTTTCAAATTTGATGAAATTTTTACGATTTTCTAAAGTTTTTCTTAAAATTGATGAACTTTTTTGCAAAATTGATGAACTTTTTCTCAAAATCGGTGAACTTATTTTCAAAATTGATGAACTTTTTTCAATTCACATGAACTTGTTTTCAAAATCGATGAACTTTTTTCAATTTAGGTGAACTCTTTCCAAAATCGATGAACTTTTTTCAATTTAGGTGAACTTTTTCCAAAATTGATGAACTTTTTTCAAATTTGATGAACTTTCTTCAAAATCGATGAACTTTTTTCAAAATCGATGAACTTTTTTTTAAAATCGATGAACTTCTTTTGAATCCGTAAACTGTTTTTGAATAAATGAACTTTTTGAGTTGGTGAACTAATTTTTGAATAGGCGAACTTTTTTTGCATGCTCATGAACTCCATCTGTAATATGTGAAGATATTTTCAAATAATTGGAAAATATAAATGCTACAATGTAATGCGCAATAAATAACGCGTCTACATTTATATTCTTTAAATCTTTTGCGCTGTTAACAGGCAATAGTAGTGACCTGGTGCAGTAGCTAGCTTCTTCGTTTGGAAGCGCGAGGTCGCGAGATCGAATCCCAGTCGGGATGTATTTTTGCCGGTCATTTTTCGCGTTGGTTGTTGCGCGAACGTGGGCCGGCCCATCCAGCGGCTGCTGCGGGCGCCACTTCTCTTGCGGGGCGCTGAAGGCGCGGTATAGGAGCTCCCGTTTTGTACCGCTTTGCAGTTAGCGGTAGACATTGCTTTACAAGGGCCGTTGATGTTTGCGCGGGCCAGCAAACCAAAAGCCGCATTTGATTGAGCCCAGGCCCTGCTGCTGATGTGAGCCCATCGTCCTGACGTCCATCGATCACAAGGGGCTAAAAATCAGCCCAGTCGCCTCGCCGTCATTCCGCCTTCCAGCCGCTCCGCCTCCCATTTCCCCTCGCCGCCCCCCTCCGG